GGGAGATGCCCCGGAGATTAAAGGCTCTGGGCCTGACTCAGGCAGTGTGACTGTGTGACTCACCTGTCTTCTCACCTGCGTTCCCAGGGAAGGTGTGCAAAGCTCCTGCGTGGGAGTCCATCCCCAGATCCCATCTCCAGGTCTGCTGGAGGCTCTCCCTCACCCCCCACCCCCCACAGGTGAGTGGCACACTCAGATGGGACTCACCCGCTGCTCAGTGAGCCCGACACGGTGCAAACTGGAGCGACTTTAACTCCAGAAAGGTTTCAGGTTTCTTGTATTCCCCCCTTTCTTTCTCTGTTTTGCTGCTCTGCCCAGGTTTGTCTGCCCGGGATTCTCAGCACCACACTCCTCTGAGCAAACCCAGACAGAACATGCAATCCCAGTGGAAGGAACAGTCTGCAGAACAAATCTTGTGGTATTTGGACTGCTCATGAGCTAAGCAAGGTAAAACATTCCCAGCTCTATTCCTGAGCAGGAACAAAAGCCTCTGCACTGTGACAGCTCCTGCCAGCCTGGCACTGCTCCCTGGGGACCCTCCCCTCCCTCTGCCCCCCCTGCCCAGAGCACTGACAGGCCAGGGGGGACTCTGGCCTCCCAGGAGTTCCCAGATTGTCCAAAAAACAGGCCCTGACTGCATCAAAGGCCTTTCAGAACAATTAGCAGCCCCTTTTCAAAGCCCTTGTGGCACCACACCTCACAGATCAGGTCCTGCAATTCTATTATCGCTCTTTAAATAGCCAAAAAATGTTGGGTTTTCCCTTTCCTGTAAACTACTCATTTCTGACAGGAACACAGGAATTATCCCAACTTCTCCAGGGCCCATTTTAATTTTCTTGCTCATGCCTGCAGTATGATATTGTCACTGGGATCTGAGCAACAATTAACAATTTATGTTTCCTGGCAGCTTGATTCAACATGGGTTATACCCGTGATGAGTTTGCTGTGACACTGTCAATGATACATTACAAAATGTGTGGTTTTAAATAGTTAATCTTTCACCAGTTCTCTGTGTTGAGAACCATGCTCAGCCCCCAGCCATTTCCAGGCTGCTGTAAGGAAGGTGTGTGCTGAGAACACAGAGGCAATGCTGTCAGTCCAACAGCAGCCTGATAAAATATTAACACTTCTTATGACATTTTTCCAGAAGGAAAGAGAAAAATCACCACTGTTGAGAAGCTCTGCAGCGAGAAGAGCTTTTTCTTTCAGCAAAAGATTGTTAAGTAACAGCATTAAATATTGAAGGATGCTGAGGTGTGTCAGTACACAGCCTCCTCTCAGCCCTGTGAGAGGCAGATTTATTTCCTGCCCCGTGCAAATCATGAAATCCTGTTTTCAACCGGGGACAGAAAAGCCAATCAGATAAAATTTGTACCTTGCCATTATTACTTTTATGATTTGTTAAGCTCTGTGGAATGAGCGATACAGTGTGAACAGACCATTTTAAATATCCCTTTGCAGTCACTGAAGTGCAGTGATCATTTAAAAGACAGGAATTATGAAACTCCACCACGTGCAGCTGATGCCACATCAAACCAAGGGGAGCCTTGTCTGGGTGATTTTTAACTCCTGAGTGCCTGGGGACCTTTGCACTCTCGTTTCACCAGAGCTGTTGGGAATAAATAAATAATAAATAGAGCAGCAAAAAGCAAGTCATTCTGGGCAGGCTCTGGCAGCAGTTTGCTCTCCTAATGCTGTTGGGTGAGCCAGAGGCATCCAGCTCATTTCCTAAAGAGCATTTTCTGCTTAGGTCGGGGCTCTATTAATCTGTTCAAGCCAATTCTCTACAATCCAAACCATCTGTATTTGGGGAGATCACGGTTTATTTGGACTGTCTTTGTGTCTGCTGTCAGTGGGTGATTAAAAGTACGAGGGATTTACAGTGTAAAGTCTCTCTATTGGCATGCTACAGTGACCTTCTAAGTAGCATCTCCCAATATTTAGGTAACAGCTGGTACAGTTAAGTCCAGCAGGAAAACAAAGAACAGCCACAAATACTGGCAAGAGCTGAGCTTGTGCAATGCAGAATGGCACTGCAGTGAACCTGATCAGGTTGAGAATAGATGTGTTGTTCTAACTGCTTTTGATGTGCAGTTGATGCAGGATACTTTGGGAAATATTTCCAGGTTCATGTAAAAAAAACCACGTTTAAATCTCTTTGGGCTCCAAGTGTGGGGTTGAACTGTGGCCAGGCAGCCCTGGCTCCCTTCCTTCCGAAGGGCTGGAAGGAAAACCTGCTCACAGAATGTGTCATGAGCCTCCCAGAAATGTTTCCTCATCAATAAGAAACCTGAAAGGGTAAAGAAAAAACAAAGCAACAAACAAACAACGAGCCGAACCAGATGTTTATTTCAATTGTAACTGTTGTAATAATTGTAACTGGCACATACCTGTCCTGGCGCAGGAGCTGCCCCTCCATACACACCTTCCAGGGAGTTCTGCATCCCCATGGCTCCCACCGCTCCCCACCCTGTACAGGTGGAGGGAGCTGAAGCTCCCATGGAGAACTGCCAGCCATAATATAATATTGAACCTATTTTTTTCTCAGAAAAATTGTAAATAATTCATGGGGCTTTGTTCTATAAAGAGGCCCGTTATAAATCATCTGAGCTGCACCTGGAGATTTCTGCTATCAGCAGTCTCACGGGAATTACATCTCTCCAGGGCCATCCATTATTGTAAACACAGTTCCAGAGAGGAATTATGCATGTAACATTCACAGGCAAACAAACAAGGACCTGCAGCCTGGATTTGGTACTGAAGCTTTGCAATCCAGTGCGGTTGTTGGTGGCAGAGCGCACTAATTTTCTGCCCTGGCATCAGAGATCCGCTCTGCTCAGGTACAGGTGTATTTTTCCCTGGGGAGCACCTGTTGATGGGAATGCTGGCTGACTGTACACCACCAGCAGGGCAGGTGCTGGGAGCTGGAAGGAAACAGCCGTGGCTGTGGTTCCAGAGGCACGGAGAGGGCCTGGCTGCAGGAGCATGAGCTGCAGGAAGGATCTGCATTCCCACATCTCTCCATGGATCACTTCACAGTGCTGGGATTACAGGCCAGTTATTGTCGAATTACACTAACCTGATTCTTTTGCATTCTGTCCCTCAGAAATAGAAACATTCCTGAGAGTCCCTGCCAGGTTCCTGGTGGTTCCAGCTCACGGTGTCAGCTGTCAGCACAGGAGGATACAGGAGGCCAAGAACTGAGATGTGTTCATGGAACTGCCTGGAAGGACTCCTGAAATCCCGGTTTTCCCTGGCACCCAGGGATGGGAGCAGGTGGAGCTGCTTCTGTTCAGGCAACCAAGTAGGTGAGTGAAAGGCATGGGGGAAAAGCTGCATCCAGAGTTGGGAATGATCTACTGAGCTCGGGACAAAGAGGAATAAAACTGAGTTTATTATTTGACATGGGACTTGTGGAATGAGCCTTGTGCCAGGTGCTCCTCTAGACCAGGCCATCCGAGGGGATGCCTTGGCAGGGAAAACAGGAGCAGTTTGACTGGGCCAGGGAAGCCCCTGCCCAGACCTGGCGGCACAAACTGCACCACGTGTCGTTTACAACCAGGAGGGACTCTGGGAGTACAAAGGCTGATGATGCCTCCCCAAGCTGGACTTTAACAGCTCTGAGGCACTGCTATCTGGGCAGAGATCACCTCCTTCCTGCCCTAGAGGGGTTCTGGAAAGGCTGGAGAAATGATTTCTGGTCCCTGGACTATTATGGAACTTCTCCAGAACAAGGGATCTGCTCTTCCCCTTCTGCCCCGCCTCTCTGGAGCAGGAGCAGGTACAAGGTGCCTGAGCACACGGGGTGGGCTGCTGAAGTCAGAGCCAGTGGCACCTGCCCAGAGTGTTCCGGGCACCCTTGGGTTGGGCTGTGCTGACAGACCTGGTCCGTGCCAGGGGCCCCACGTGGCTTTGGTGGCACACAGTGCACTTAAAGGTAAAGGCAGGAGAGCATGAGGGGGTCTGGGCAGCCCTGCCATCGAGCTCCTCCTTACACTCCACTCCAGCACCACGGTCCTGCCAGGAGAGACCCTAAATGGGAGATTAGTGCAGGGAGGGGCACGGCCGGGGGGCAGAGCCGGCTCGGGGGCAGAAATCAAATCAATGCCTAATTTAGAACTGAAGCATGACTTGATTTCGCCCAGAAGTGCCCACAGCGTTCTGTTTTCCTAAAAACCGTGATGGCGAGGGATGAAACGCCACGGCGAGGGACCGCCCCCGAGGGACCACCTCCGAGTGCCCCGGAGCTCCGCGGGCAGCGGCGGCTTCGCTCTGGCTGCCTCGCAGCGGGGCACAGCCCGGGACACATTTTGGGCACAGGACACATCCCGGGGCGCATCCCGTGCCGAATCCCGGGAACCATCCCGGGGCGCATCCCGTGCCGAATCCCGGGGCGCATCCCGGTCCCGCAGCCCCGCCCCGCTGGCGCCGCTCCCGCCCGCTGGGGGGCGCCCTCCCCGCGCTGCCCGCTGCCCCCGCGTGCCAACTCAGCGCGCGCGCCCCCCGCGCGCCCCTCCTGTTCCCGCCGCCGCCTCGCGCCCCCCGCGCGCCCCCCGCGCGCTCCCCCTCGCGCCTCCCGCGCGCCCCCCCGCGCGCTCCCCCTCGCGCTCCCCCTAACGGCCGCCCCGCGCGCCCCCCCTCAGGCCCCCCAAAGGCCGCTCCCCTCGCCCCCCGCGCGCCCCATCTCGCGCCCCCCCTAACGGTCGCCCCGCGCGCCCCCCCCTCAGGCCCCGCCCGCGCGCCCCCTCAGGCCCGTCCCCAAGGCGGAGCGCGGAGCGGGGCGGGGATGCCCAGCGCTTTGTGCCCGCTCCCCGCCGCCCCTCCCGTCTCTGCTGGGCCGGCCCGCTCCTCTCCACGCCCCGCCGGCGCTCCCCGTCCCTGCGGCCGCGCTCAGCCCCGGCCGGCGGCGGCAGAGCGGGCGGCTCCGCCCCCGGCCCCGGCCCCTTCCCGCCGGGCTCGGCTCCCGGCGCCTTCCGCCGCCCGCGGGCCAGCGGCAGCAGCGGGGCGGCAGCGGCAGGAGGAGGAGGAGGAGGAGGAGGAGGAGGAGGAGGCGGCGGCCTCGGCGGGTCGGGGAGCGGCTCCATGGCGACCGCGGCGACGGAACCGGTGTACGGGCTCTCGGAGGACGAGGTGAGTCGGGGCAGCGGCCGCGTGCGGGGTGCGGGGTGTGGCGGGGCCCCGTCGGCGGGAGCAGCGGCGCCGCTGCGGGAGCGAAGGTCGAGGGTCGGTCCGGGAGGGCGAACGCCGCTCGCCCCGCGGGGCTCCGGGCCCGGCCCGGGCAGCGTAGCCCGCAGCCCCGGCAGGTGCGGCCGCCGCAGCCCGCGGGGGCCCCGGCCGGGCGGGCGGCGAACAAAGAGCCCCTCTCCGCCCCCTCCCGCAGCGCCGCCGCTGTCCCCGCCGGGAGCTGTGTCAGACACAGCCTGGTCCCGGTGCAGATGGAGCCGATAAGTGGGGTAGGACCCGCGATAACTAATCGCCGTGTGCCGGCTTTATCAGCCTATGTCTTCTGCAGAACCAGACTAGCACGGGCGTGAGCAGAACAGTCCGGTTTATCTTAGGTGAATGTTAAAAATGCTGTTTAATGCCCTTTTTGTTTCGTTGCCGTGGTCGGGTGCCCCTTTCCCTAGCAGCCGGTGTGATGGAGCATCAGCAGTGGGCAGGGTGCGTTGCTGGGCTGTGGTTTCAGAATATATCAGGTGGTAGCAGCGCACATATTGCTTGTACACATACAGGAGCGAATAAAAATTGTTACAGCATTGCATCCGGTTTTATGGGGCCGAACGCGACGGGTAATCCGTTAGTTTGCGGTGTAGAAGAAACTGACATTTAAAAAAAGAAGTCTTTAAATTGTGAAGCTGAAAGACAGTGTTTATTACACGTACTTCTGTGGTATCAAGTTTAGATGATTGTAACGTTTAATTACCATTGGAAAGGAGATTCTTGAGCTGGAATGGGTGTTTTGCTGAGGGGGATTCGTTCTGTTGTTGATTGATACAGCTGAGAGCAGAGTGGTGTGAGGAAGGGGAGCAGGGAGGGCAATGCTGGGGCCTTGGGTGATGTAGATAACGAGCATTGATTGCACCTGAGGAGAACCTTCTTTCCTAGGGCTGTTTCGTTAAGCCCACCTGTGAGGATGGGGGTGACTGACGGTAATCCCTGAGCATCTCTGGGCCAGCTCCCATGTGTCACCCGGGCCCACTGCTGAGCCATCTGTGGGCATCCTGCGTGCTCCCGGGGGGCTGGAGTGTCTGTGGGCATCCTGCGTGCTCCCGGGGGGCTGGAGTGTCTGTGGGCATCCTGCGTGCTCCCGGGGGGCTGGAGTGTCTGTGGGCATCCTGCGTGCCCCCGGGGGGCTGGAGGGGATGCAGGATCCTGCCTGCTCCTGGGGCATCCTGGTTGTTGGGGGCCCTGCAGAGGCTCGAGGAACAGCCAAGGCCAATGGGGATTGCTGTCCCAATGTGGGCCCCCCCAAACGTTTAATTGGAGGTGCTTTGGTGCTTCTGTTGGCAAGTGTGATCTGTGAGGAGAAGGGAAACCTGGAGCCACCCTGCCAGGTCTCGGGGAGGTGGCTGGGAACATCATGCTGGAGCCTGGCTGCTGCCTTTTCTGTTGTGCTGTGCTCGCTGTGTCTTTTGTCCCTGCCTCCCGCCTCGACATATGCTGGTACTCGCACAGAATGCTAAAGAGAAACGGATCCAGGGAGAAAGGCGCTGGCTGTGCCGCTCTCACCTTGGCTCCGAGGGGGAGGGATCTCGGGAGAGCAGGGGCTGTTCCTGCCGTGGTGCTCAGTCCCAGCTGGTGCTGGGGAACAGCGGGCAGGGAGGTGCGTCTGTCACTCACCTCCCGAGGTAAAACCAAGGTGTTGGAAAAGGGGAAAGCAAGGCTCTGGTCTCTCAGCTGCAGCGATGGCCACAGCCACACTGCCTGAGGGGCGGGTCTGATGGTGCTGGACACTTCTCAGGACAGAGCAGTGACCATCTAAAACTGCAGCAGCAGTCCACAAATGGAAATAGAGTGGAAGAGAGAGGGCAAAGGGACCGGGGTGAGGAGGGGCAGGGAGAAGGATGCTGGCAATACTCACAACCTGCTGGGCTGTAGTTTCATTATGCCAAAAATCTGAACCGCTGTCTAGTCTGTGGTAATGGGCAGAGGAGAGCTGAGAACAGGAGGAGGAGGAGGTTCTCCCTCGGGAGGGTGGCTGTGAATAAGCTCCAGTAGAGGTAAAGCTCCAGAGGGTTGAGGAAGGCAGGTGTGCTGACAGTTCACTGCGTGCTGGCTTGTGTGGGTAATGACTTCCCATTAGCACTGGTTTGGACTTGGTGTGGCGTTTTCTTTGGAAAAGCAGAGCTCTTCTAGCTGGGAGAGGCTGAACTGTGTGTGGACATATTCAGGCTGTTAATTTCCCTTGTTCCTGCCTGGGTTTGAAATGCAGTTTAGAGGTCTGTTGTAGATGTTTTCTGGAGGGTTTTGAGTTGGCCTTGTGCGGGGCTTCCACTCCTGGCACATGTGCTGGTTGGGAAATGCAGTAAGCTGGATGGGCTGAATGTAATGGATGTAAGTTGGACTGGCTGAAGGGCTTTCCAGAGAAGCAGCAGTGTCTTCTGCAGAGCAGAGGAGAGGTTCCCTGCTGCTTGCACAATCAGCGCGCGTGGGCTCCTGCTCCACGGCTGGGGCTGCGCGTGTGCCGGCGCGTCTGCAGAGTTTGGTCTGCACTGGTCCCTGTGGTGAGCTGGGGTTCCTGGGGGTGCCCTCCCTGTGGGCATCTGTTCCGCGTTGCCCAAGGGCTCTGATGGGGGTTTGGGGATCACTGAGTCACAGGGGACGATCCAACCGTTCGTTGCACTTTGCCACGGCAGCCCACGTGTGCTCATACATAGGTCAGCCTCTTTGGAAACCTGAACTGTAAAAAGGTTTAGATTAGTCTGTTAGTTAAAATCAACTGTAAATCAGATTCGTGTCCTGCCAGTTTTTCACTGTGGGGGTGACATCAGCACTAGGCCAGGCTGCCCAGGGGACTGTTGGAGCTCCATCTTTGGGGCTGTTTGGAACTGTCTGGATGTGGGCCTGGCAACCGGCTCTGGCTCGAGTAGGGGATGAGCCAGGTGACCTCCAGAGGCCCCTGCCAACCTCAGCCCCTCTGTGATTCTGTGAAATAATATTTACACATAGCTTAGGTGCTCTCATGCAGTCTTTAAATATCACTATATTAAAAAACTTACAGCCCTTCACAGTTGAAAACATTTGTGAATGAAGTGCATGTCTTGTTAGTTTCAGTTTGGATTTCTCAGGAGTCTTTGGCAACAATTTAGGTGTTGCCCAAACAAATCCATAAACATTCCCTTTTCATTTCTCAGTGTCCTTGGGGGGAAGCAAAACATGCAGGCTCCTTGGATCTCATTTGGTTGAATTAATAATGGATCTTCACAAAAAGATCCTTGAAGAAAGAGTGTCTTTTTAGATTTGAAAATATTAGGGGGAAAAAAGAGGTTCATACATGAAACTGCTCTCTGCGGTTCCAGCATTCTTCTCTTTTCAAGTTCTATTCAACTTCCGTGACTTGTGATTGAATCAACTGGAATTAGAAGCTTCCTACTGAGATGACATTTTGTCATGCCTTAGAAATTGTCAAAAAGGACCTTATGTTCCTGAAAATATCTCAATGCGTGAGATACAATCCCATATGCCTCGAGATGAATAGTTGTGCATGTAGTCACTGCAGCTTAACCTTTCTTCTTGTGTGCTGTGCTGGGCAAAGCCTTGTTCCTCAGGAAGGAATCCTGGAGGATTTCAAGAGCCTCTGTGGCACTTGGCTTTAATGAGATGCGCTTTGGGGAAAGAGAAGCAAAACCAGTTCTGGGTAGGATGGAAATGGTTCCTGTAGACAGGAATGAAATGAATCCCTGTAAAGCACAGGCTTACCTGTACTGCAGCTGACAGCAGGGTAAAGAATAAACCAAGATGTGCCACGGTGGTGCTGTGCTGAAGTGCAGCTTGGGCTGTGATGGGTGAACTGTCTGTGTAAAGTGCTGCAGACTGAGGCGTAGAGGAGGTTTTTTAGTGCCTCGTGTTTATATGTTCCTGATGCATTTGTTGCTCGGGAATCATCTCCCTTGAGGGTGTCTCCTTTGCTGCAGTCGAGTGTCATGTTAACAGATCTGTGAGATGGGGCTGGGAAGGCCTCAAGAGGAGGAGGTTATTGCTCATGATCAGCGGGATTTATTGGGGAGGAAAAAGGCTGTGATTTTCCCTCCTCCCCTGGAGTTGGTGACAAAGCAGTGACATGCGGGAGCTCAGCCTTGAATTGCTCTCCTTTACATTTGAAGCAACCCATAAGCTTTGGAAGCAAGCGGGATGCTGTTGTTGGGAAGTGTCAGTGTTGCAGATGGTTGCAGGAGGATTTCAGGTGCCGTTCGGTGGCCTGGGTGCTGAGCTGTCTCTTGCTGCTTGCCTGGCTCCCACGCTGCACTGACACGGCCAGAGGGGTTTCCTGAGCCCAGGCTGTGTCCACAGGGCCCCTGCCAGGACTGGTGCTGGGGAAGGGGCTCCAGAGCCGTGTGCCCTTGTTGCACTGGTTCCCAGCTCATCTGCTGGAGCAGCGCTGGAGTGCCAGGCGCTGGGTGAAGGAGCAGGGTCCTGATGTGCTGCAGCAGCAGCTCGGGGCAGCCGTGGCTCCTCAGCTGCCAGGTGGGAGGGGGCAGTGTGGGGGGCCAACCTGCCCTGGGGTGCACCAGCTGCTGCCTGAACCTGGAGCCTTTTATATGGGAAACCCCCTGGAGTTCCTGGACAAGATGCACCTTTTGTGGCCAGCACTGAACACAGACCCTTTAAACAGGAGCTCTGCTGTTTCTGCTCTGAATACTCCGGTTACATAAAGCCTGACTCTGCCATCCCAGTGTGAGGGGCCTCCCTTGGTCACAGTGCTGACAGTATCTTAGCAATAAGCAATTCAGAATAGTGACTTTTTATTGACTTTTTAAATGGAAAAAAAACCAACCCTGAATTGTTTTTATAGACTCTAAGTGCACTGGCTTCAGGGATAGTGTGTAAACTTTAAATGAGGATTAAAAAGTCCAGGTGAGGAAGCGTTTCATAAATGATAGGGCTTGCCTATCTCCTTGTGTGGCAGAATA